AGCATTCCAGCCTTTGCTAGTTACATTATGTTTTACCTCAAAGTGAAGCTAAGGATGTTTGAAATGTCATTAGTTTGGCAGCTTTTGGTCATAAACTACAATTTGAAATTTGACCTGATGCTTGAAGTTTACCAATGTTGAAATGAAGAAATGAATGTCTGGGTAAACAATCAGTCTATCCATAGACAACACATCCAAGAATTGTTGAAAATAATTCATGAAAAGCAAAAAAAGTAACCTCCTGGAACCAAACATAGCTACCAACGAACTGATAGATATATAGCTAACTATATATACAGTTCAGCATACATATTCTCAAACAATTAGATGTAAGTCTGCAATAATTACATAATCTGCAGTCATCTTGGCATTATAGGAATGACAAAGTTCTGAACCAAATGATTCAAGAACTTTTATTAATCATCAACATAGGAGTTATATTTAACTCCCCTTATGTTTCAAAGTACTCAATAACATAATGACCAAAGCAGCATCTTAAATTCTGTTTGCTTTTTAGTTTTTAGTTTTTTTTTCCTGAAACTAACCAACATCTGTTACTTTCATGTCTATTACTGGAACACTTACGACCTCCCTGGAAGCTGCTGATCATGTTAATGACAAGGCTTTGAAGTGAGCTTTTTCAGCATAATCTGTGTAAAACATAATGCAAATATTTCTAATTAATGGACCAAAGTGAGGCGTCCCTTTGAGCCATTATGAAACACCTAGTTGTTCAGGTTTTCTCCTGCCTCTCAAGACTGACCAACCCCCTCAGTCTGCTCACAGTCATTCATCGGCCTGGTTTTATTGCTAACCTGACATAAAGGCATTGTGCAAACACATCAAAAGATCATGAAAGATTCAGTGGCTCCTTTCAGGGGCTTTAACAACACAGTCCTTTTGCCCTCCACCTTTCTCTGCGACATCAGAATATAAAGAATAGCCTTGATGAGGATGAATTATGCAACACTGATATGTTTTTTTCTTCTTTGTCGCTGTGTTTTATCTGATGAGAAGGATGATCGGCAGCGTGAGGTTACACAGGGCAGGAAGAAAGGACGGTTTATAATGGGATCATACACTGTATGCTTATGAAAGCACTGGATCATGAGCTTTGTATTGTAATCAAACTTCTTCCCAAAAACTAATTCCACAAATGTTCAATATAAACTTGAGATCCATGGATTCAACTGTACTGTTGCCTCATTTAACAAAGCAGTGACTTGGAAATAAATACATAAAAAAACCAAACAAACAAACAATCAATCAGGGTACAAAGTAAAGATGCAAGTAATAAAGTGATAAGGTCCAAACATACTTAAATGTTGCTAGAAGAGAGAGCTCAGCTTTTATTTTCGGGCTAAAATGTTCTTTAAAAAGATCTCTTTAGCTTGAGAGCCTTTAAATCAGTGACCTGTGAAGAAACCTCACAGGAACAGTGGAGAGGATCAGACGTGCCCTTCACGATCTAATTTTCCACTTTGCTGAATGCCTTCAGACAGCAGTGAGTCATAGAGGTTTTGTTGCTTGTTGTCCGAAAATGTCCGCATTTACAGAGAAAGATACGAGAAAGAGCATTTTGACAGATTCAAGTGGTTGCAAAGATACACAGTTTGGTTCAGTATAGCACCGGCACGTTATTACTTTAACTCAACCTATCAGAAAATGGTGGTTTGGGATGCTTGCCACTTATTCTGAACCAGGGGTTTGACATAGCCAAACACTGTCTTGCCATTTGTGCACATAATATTACTATTTTTGTATTAATAAATAAGTAGATCGTAACAGTAGCCAAACCAAATTTTAGTCTGTGGTAATGAATTAACAGTAATATGAAAAAATACCAATAAGAGTGAGTCAAAACAAGTTTTGAGTGACGGTAACCAACCTCTGCTTTGGTACTGTATACCATATTTGCTACACAAATTGGTCATT